GCTTCAGGTACTCAATCAGATCTGCTTGCTTTTCCACAACTTCTTCCAAACTTGAACAGTCCCTTAAAAGAAAGCAGAGGATCACACTATAAATTTCCAGGACTGAGAGTGCTGTAGTGCTAGAACAAAACTTTCTGGGGTGGGGAGAGCAGGTGGATATTTTTCGATACATATAAAACATTACTTCATTCTGCATACTTAACTAAACATACAATTTACTTTTTCTCTGTACATTGGGCAATAAATGCATACATTTTCTACCATAAATGCTCTTGAGCATACATCAATTATGGTGTACATACAAATTCATACCAGATCACACTATATATACACATACATTTTTTGTCTTAGAATATACAGAAAGTTCAACTATCTGCTTAACAAGTCACTAAACTGTCTGCTGCTGCCAAAACATAATTGAGCAAAACAAAGAAATGCTCATTTTGAAAGCTGGACATGTCCAGTTCCTACATGAGAAAACTGAATGCTCTGCCTTCAGTGCATCTGCACATTTCAAGATGTTATCCTTCAAATAGTCTCATCTTATTTGTAGATTGTAATCATACCCTGGCAGGTAACAAAGAAGTGGGCTGATACTGACCCCCGATTCCTTTACAGAATCAGCGCAGTGCTACTTTAGCAGAGAGCAAATAACATTAACAGCACAAACAAAAGGAAGATCAAATGTACTGTATGCAAAACGTTAACTGATATATTTTCAGCACAATGTAAATTTACTGATGAAAAGGATATTCAACACCTATTGTTTCTAACATTACAATAAATTAATGCACTGCAGTTACTTCCATAAATTACAGCGAAACCAGTAGTGACTTTATTTTTATGGAAATAATGGAGACACTTTTATCCTGTTAGGAGCTTGTATTTTTCTGTAGTTTAAAATGGATGGAAATGAACATTTTATAAATATATGTTCAAACACATTTTACCAAGAGCAACGTGGCTTGATTACGTTTATATTATATGACATTCTAAATGAAAGTCTGATATATTCCTATGCACATGTGTGAGAGACACCACTAAATTATTTTTTTTTAAATAAGCTTAATTATCGCTAACTTTTACTGACTGTATTGATAAGTCTTAAATAACATCAGCCACTTAGGTTTCTGCTTTGTGGTTACTGAAACTTTGTTTTTATTAGCCCCATTTATATAATAGGTAAAACAATAACTATTCTTATGGTTCACAGTAAATATGTATATATATTATATTAACACCCCAGTATAGCAATAGTAAATAACATAAAAAGCTTTAACACATTCTGCAACAAACTGTGTTAAAATTTAGAAGTCAACAAATATTAGATGATTATTACTCAATGAGATGTCACATCTTGGTGATACAGGGTCATGGACTAGCAAAATAATATATTGTTCATATAAAAAACCTAAATAATAAATGCAAAATCCATTCAATACCTGAACCCAGTCTCTGTGTTAATCAGACTTCTTCTGCTTGGATATGCATTTGAACGTTCCTCCTGACTGATATCAGGACCTGGCTTTTCTTTGTTGAAGTTTATAACTTTCACTGAAAAAAATACAGGATACGCAGATAGAACAGTAAATATTCATATGTACAAACGGAGATAAACATTTTACATCAGTTTTACATCAAGGATACATTTAAGAAAGAAAATATATGCTCATGCACAATGCTAAACAACTATTATTCTAAGTTTTTATAGTGGTGTCATTTGACATTCAAACTATCATATGCTTTGCCATTTTCAATAAGTGAAAGAATATGACCTAGTGTTTATGTTTGTGCTTCCCAAACTATGAACCAAAGAGTAATGAGTATTGAAATGAAGTAATGGAATCAAGACATCTGTGTGGCTCCTTTTTGGCACTGAAATAAATATCAGAACAAGCTCACGTTTCACACTGAAATTGTAGTAAAAAAAAGTGTCAAATATCTTTCATTAAAGCAATAATGTACATGTCCTTTAGCAATAGTTCAGGTTCTAACGTTGTTTTCTTTCTTCTCTTTTCAGCATGGGATAAATTATCACTTGTTCCTTTTCTTTAGCAAGACATGTTATTTCTAGCAATATTAGTAGTGATTATTTTTAAAATCGTTTGGAGTGTGGTGAAAAATTTACAACAACAAAGTTGTGCTGCAAACTGAAAAGGTTTGTGAAGCACAGACCTAGGATGAAAACAAACCAAACAGTGTGGATGTATTGTAAATTTTAACTTTCAGGTAAGCAATCTCTGTAATTCAAAACAATCTTCTAAAAGACTACTACTTCAAAAATTAATCTTAGCAATAGTAATTAACAACAACACAACTGCACAGAAACCAGTAGTTTATACTCTCTGCCAGGACATAACAGTAAATATTACAATATATTTACTGCAGTAATACTCTTTCAAAGGAATTGGGTGTAAATAAAACCATTCTAATAAGCTTTAATTTTATACCTCTCTGTACCGTCAAAACCTTGTTACCAATATAAGAAGAAATCTTACTGTAAAGCACTCTGAGAAGCTGTTCTTGAAAGATGCAGCATTAAATGAAGTTTGTTATTTGCACTTAACATAGGAAAAAAAAAAACTGAACTTGGCAGTACTGAACCATAGTGTTAAAGCAATGTTGTTCATGTTCATTAGAAGAGTGAAAGGTGCAAATTAGGGGGTCTAACAACAAGGGCAGGCAGGCAAAGTCTTCAAATTATCACTGCAACCTTAAAGGCAACTTGCTTTCCCAATGGCGCCTGCCTCCAATTGTTTCCACCATCTGCCTCAGTAGAGTACTTTTGCATGGCTGAGTAAAGAGAGGCTGTTACAAGGCTCTAACATTGCATGGCTACCATGACACAATAGGCTGTAAAATAATCAGAGGACCACCTCGGTATCTAAACGGGGTGGCCTTCTCCACCCTTCCTCTCAAACATTATTCTTCAGAACAAAAGCAGGAGCACAGTGTACTGTACTCAAATAAATCAAAGCTCAACACTGTTCCTTTCAAGCTCACCCAACAAGCATCACCACAGGTTCCATGTTCTGAAACACAAGCAGAGTTGCTAATTATTTCTGTTACCATAATGTCTTATTACCGACAAGAAGCAAGGGCTTAAAGAGTCAACTACTCTAACTGCTCCAAACACCTCAGAAAAGGGAAGGGCTCAGAAGTGCTTCAACCAGCAAAAGGCACTTGTTTAGAATGATAAACTGAGCCATCCAGTTCAAAAATCACTGCTTCAGGTTGGAGCTGCTTAGTTATACAGTTGTGACTGGGATTCCTCAGGCAACAGTACACAATTGTAACCCCCATGCTTAACAGACTGCTGTGAATTTGCAGCATTACCAGCAAAGTATGCCTTTCTACGGGTGCTGAACCTCATGTAGACACTATGGGTGAGCACTATCAAAAGTACATTAAAATCCATGAAAGTCATCAAAATACAGTTTATATGTAATATCTATTTTTAGCAGCAATCAGGGGAGTTGTTAAATATGATTCCAAACAATTGGTTTAAATAACACAAAATGTCAATGTATATGGAAGGGCTCAGATTACACATCTTCCATTACAGATATTCATCCATCCTTTTTCAAACCACTGCTTTTAATTCAGGATTACTGGGGAGCTGGACCCTAGCCCAAGCAAAGGGTGCAAGCAGGGTACACCCTGGACAGGATGCCAGCCCAGTGCAGCACTTCTGATACGGCAACCATCCAATACATATTTTGTATGAAACTTGTAATGCACGGTCAGAGGTGGAAAAGCTCCACAATCCACCAATTATCAGTGAAACTGCATTATGGTATAATAAAAATACTCTATCTGCAATTACTCTATTGGGGTTTGTTTGGATCCCCTAAATTTTTGGGGCGTGTTTTTGAAACAAATAAATTGAAAAATCATTAATGTTCAACAATTATATGTCATCTGATGAGGCAGTCAGAGTACTTTCTTTGTTATTTTCAATATGAAAGGATACTTGAAAACTAAGTAGTTCAAAAACAGTGCTCTACTATAAACATGAGTTTAAAATAAGAGCATTTCAAAACACGTTTGTGCAGAAACACAGGCAGTCATTTTGTGTTAATAATTAAGATCTTGTTTGGTTTAAGATCTTGTCAAATCTTAATTATTCAGTTGCTACCAGAAGGATACCATGAGCTTGGCTTTAGTCTTTTAACATGTTCCATTACAAAAAAAGTTGCACTGATGAGGAATATATTAGAGGGCTAGGTGTTTAGGGATGTCTTCAACTATTGTTAAAGTTAATAGCTGCACCTCAGGGGAGTTACAAATATTCAGTTCTATTGATTACTAACTGTATCTGACGGCAGTTTTCAGAGAGGTAATCACTGGCACCAGTTAAATTAGCCCTTGGCCACATCGGACTAGTCTTTCCCTGCAGGAGCCCGGGGGGAAGCTGCCAGATTAAGCATAACTTTACAAAGAAAAAGTATTAAAAAATTACATCCCTGAAGGCATTCATAATCTATAGGCTAATAAAAGAAATCACAGCAGAGGCTTTGCCGCCTTAGTCATTATATACTTGGTTCAGAGACTTAAGGATTAACACAATCAATGATGCTCTTAATTTTGTAATAAATTGTGATTTTAAACAGCTTTCTGTCAGATATCTATCTGTTAGAGTTTAAGAGTAATTAAATAGTCATTGACTATGTAATTAACTAGCAATTAAGTAGGTTATGTTATTTTAACATGTTTTTCCAAAATACATTCGTTCTACACATGCATTTACAATGACTAAATTAGCATGTGTAGAACATATTGCCACTCTTCACGTACACTACACTGGGTACACTGGGAATTTAATTCCTTCATAAATATACACATAGTTATTATACAGAGCAAAACAACTCATCGCCAAGTATGGAAATACGTACTAAAAGTTGTATTCAAAATATATATTTATTCAATAACTGTATATCCTGAAATAAACCATTTCAAATTTAATCACACACCCGAAGAAGGCTCCACATCCGAAACATTGTGGTTTCTTTCTTCTCTATTCAGCGTGGAATAAACCTATTACTTGTTCAATTTACATTTATGGAATTGGACACAAAATATTTACCACAACTCATTTTCCTTAGTTTTTCCAAATACATGGATATATAGAATTTGATACTACAACTGATTTTTTTTTACATTTCTCAGCTTCTTACAGCTTTAAAAAGTATGAGTAACAGAACATTTATGATAGAAAACAAAATACTTCCTTCTGCTAAGTCACTTTCTGATTTTTACCCCCCAAAAAGTCATAAATATCAAAATACAGGAAAAAAAAATGTTACAGATCCAGTAAAATGCATGTGATTGAAGGCAGTATTTTTGTTGAAGGATCTACATCTAATTCACAAAACATAGATAAGAAGAACTGAAAACAAATGCAGCCGTTTAACATACCTGGAAAGGAATTACCTAAAACAAAGAGGATGTATAATTTACAAGCTACAAATCCTAGCATTGTCACTTAAGTCCTGCATTTAGATTTTCTTTGATCTGGTACCATGAAGTCAAGCAATGGGACTAGAACCTGGCGAAAGAATGAACAGATCTTTAGGAACTCGGTGAAGCTGGCAAAGGTTTAGGATCCATCTTAAGAAATAATTACGAGGTATGTAAGGAAGCACAGAAGCTGTTATATCCTGCACTTAGACCTTCTGCTTTTAACACTTACAATCTATTGACACCTTCTGTCCCATTCAGAGGGCAATTTCTTCAGCTGTCTTGCTAAGACCTCTTTACATACAACAGTGAATTTTTAAAGACTATATAAAGGTTCAATAAAAGATAAGGCTAGTGTTTCTAACCTGTTGCAATAGAGATTATAATGTCATATGATTTAAGGCCTTTCTGTAGAAAGTGAGCCCCATCTAAAAGCTTTAAAGAACAGAATTACTGAATCCAAAAAACTAGAAAAACAATTTTGTGAAGTACCTTATAAAAAGCATAGAACAAGGTTCACTTCTCTTAGCCCCAATATTTTAAAAAATACAGGTGGTGGTTAGTTGTCATTTAAATGTCAAAATCACAGACTCAGAATCATTAACTTTAACTTGAACAGAGTTCAAATAAATTAAAACTTTACGGTTTTGTATTAACTCTTATTTTCAAAGTGAAGTAACACTTTTAATTTATAGAGAGTCTTTCATGGCAAGCACAACAGTATTGTACAGAACAATTAATAAGCAAATAATTATAAACTAACAGTAATCAAGATTTAGTCAAAAGTAGATTTTAAGTGCATTTTGAAAATTTCACGGTCATGACAGTCCTTGTTGTCAATACTCGGTATCAGTTATGTATAAGAATCAGAAATATCACAATTCAAATTCCTAAATTACCTCATTATTTGCAAACAAGAAAACACTAATGGTAATTTACAGAAAAGCAAGAAAATTTCTATTTTTTAGTGTGATGGATAATGAATGACAATAAGTGCATAAGGATAAAACAACACACCAAAGTTTCATTGTGAATTTGAGATGGTTTTGGATGTTGATATTCGATTTAATTTCAGTGTTATCAAGTAACAACTCAAAATCAAGTGTATTTACTTAACCAATGTAGAAACCACCCTTCCATCCATCCATTTTCTAAACATTATCCAATATAGGGTGACAGGGGAGCCGGAGCCTGTCCCAGCAAGCAGTGGGCACAAGGCAGGATACACCCTCATTTTCTACTTTTATATTTTTAAATGTATAAAAGATGAAAGTCCAGAGGCAGTTAAATACATGTCTATAGTTGTGCCTACATAGCGCTGAAGAATACTGGCATAAAATGAAACCCAGTGCCACGCTGTTGAATGTTGAGTGCCACTGGTAAGAAAGAGACATTTAAAATGAGCCACTGCTGGACATGATTTAAGACAGCTCTTTTACAGCTCTCTCTGTAAAATACATGGTGCCCCAGCTAAAAAGGTACTGTACTATACTTCAGTTAAAGATGCAAGACTGTGAGTAGCCCTGTAGTAACCTACAATGTCTTGATTCAATCTAGCTTCCTTCAGGGACCAACACAACAAATAATTTATGAAAATAAAAACAACTTGAAAGAGCCAATAAATGTTTGTTGTTCAGCTTTATACCATACTAAAAAAAACAGATCTACTGTACAACCAGTCAACATACTGTTGAGTACTGAGCGGTCACAGTGAGGTTGCAAATGCTGGTCTTGCCATGGACAATTCACAAGAATTGTGACATGATGCAGCCCTTCCTGCTCACTAGTCACTGTAATAACTAATGTAATGCGATGTACAAATGAATAAGCACAGGTTGTGCAGCAGATATTTCAGCGCAGAAATGTTCCATCTGTAATCTGCATGAAGAGTTAACAAGTAATTCTTGTCGGCAAAACTACCTAAAAGTCAAGAGAAATACTTCTATTGGATTAAAGACGTATCGCAAGGCTGTTTGTTTATAATGTAATAGAGCCACTTCACCTCACCAGTTCTGTTGTCTCATTCTGCGTCGCAGAACATGGTGCTGTGCATAGCTGGAAATGTAGTCTTTTTAGTAATGAGAATTGGAGGTTTTACATTCTACTGTGTACATTTTACTTTCATTGTGGTTTGAAATGCATTCATCAATGCTGATTCTTTCTAACCCCAAAATATAAAAATAGCATTGCAGCTCCCCTTTAATTGAATGTACACACCAGCAAAACTGGGCAAATTCTTGTGGTTTGTCTGTCAACTCCGCTGCAGTTTACTGCACATTTCATTCCATACAAAAATGCAAATATCTTTACTGCTGTGAGAATCTATAACAAATTGTTAACAATGTGTCCCTTCCTCCAATCTTGCATTTTCTGATGATTTGCTGGGAAATAAGCCAGAGACTTAAACAACACGGCAAACCATCACCTGATACAATGAGTCCCCTTTAATCAATCATTGACCAAACGCAAATATCCTGCTCCAGAAAGCTCCTATTAAAGCTCCGGCATTCTTGCAGTCAAGTGTTTATGTGTTTGCGTACCTGTGTCAGTACTGCCTCTTAGACTCTCAATCTGTCAATACCCAAGCAACAGCTAACAGATTAAACCTTATGCTTTGGTGCCATTTTTCTGTTTTTTTTCCCAAGGTTCCAAGGCAAGATTAACCCAGAAATGTTAAAAAAAAACTTCACAATTGAGCTTTCAAAATTTTGTATGATTGAGAAACTGAAAATTTTCAATGTATGCATCGTTAACTTTCAGAAGTTAAAGGAATCACTAAAGTTTTATGTAGCTCTTTAAAAATAACCTCATTAATAGTTTTCTAGCATTAAAAATAGTGATGCTTCTGAATGTCAAGGAGTGAGTTCTGAGAAAGCAGGATTGTCTGCTCAAATAGAAAGCAAAAGGTTTTTATTTCAAAAGTTAACTCCTTGAAGAATAAGAAGTAGAATACTTTGATGTCAGAAATCTTAATGTTGCCCAACACAATAGTGTGTATTCAGTTTTAAATGAAGAGAAAACTGAAATTTCCATCTCTTAGCTTCTCCAGTTAAACTCATGCATCTTCAAAAGAAATTCGAAGACAGGGGTGAGCTGTCTCCTTTCCAAATGTTTCCTTACCACTAGGAAAATAAAAAGGATACTCTGGCTATCAATGGCTTTATAACTTTACTTTAAAAAAAACTAAGTACAACCTAAGAGATTACAAAGTGGCGAGAATTTTAGAGTATATCGGTAAAGGTCATTAAATCATTTAAGGCTATTTCATACAAAAGAAAAGGAATAGTTAAATTATCACATTATACCATAATATACTGAAGTGTCATTAACTAATGGTACTTTTTAAAGAATGCCATTTCTCTTTAAAGTCGTACATATTTGTCTAATATGCTTAAATTCAACATTTTGATTCTTCTGACAAGATTAAAGTAATACATTTTACCTTGTATCCGTTTACTGGTAAAGAGGATTTCAGTTGTTCTACGCAAAACTGACTTGAAAACAAGTCTCTTGTATTATAAATGAAATCTTTAGGTCCGTGAAATAGTCTGTATTGTGCTGTAAAATGATGTAATGAAAGTGATGTTAAATCAATTCAAATGTTTGAGGCAACCTGTTTCTATTTTTACACTTTATCAACCTCTCAGAATAATCCATTTTTAATTATAGCATTGAACACCTTTTTTTTCCCCTCCCTTTCCAAAATATCTTTGCTTTGGATTAGGCTATGCGAATACACCAGTTCCGTACATTATCGATATGTCTGTCTTTCTGGCAAGTTACCGATTAGTGTGGCACGCACCTGACTAAAGTCTCCAGCCTTTGAGCAATGTGTTTTTCCCAGCTGGCAAAGAGCTCCGCTCTGAGCACAAGATGAGCTTTATAACCATTTGATAAGCTAATATTGTCTAGATTCAAAGGTCCAAAGGAGCTGTGCACATCTAAATAACGGATGCTGAGCCTGAGCAGCTCGCAATGCAACAGTGACCTCTGTAGATGTGCACTTCCAGTGTTATAAGCAACAGCTATGCTGATGGCAAAAAAGCATCTCACCCGACAGGTCAGAGGGTGCAGGTATGTTATATTCATCTTTCCCCATGTTTTGACAAGAACTGGAGTGCTGTGCAAAGCCGATCAAAAACTGTTGATTACAAGTCATGAAACTGGTTTCAATGAATAAAAAAGAAAGGTATTTTCGCCACTGGGTTAAACCTCAATCTAGCCTGCGGATTTAAATGTTTAGGGATTTACAATGAGGTGGTACACTTTGGACTTCAATAAAGTTAAAAGAGATACAGCACTGTCTGCCAAACAGTCAACAATTCTTTTATCTTTTTTCTGTTTTTAGTTTTTGTCTTTAACTGTAAGGACTTTATTCTTTAAAGAAAGTCTTCTTTCAAAACAACATGATGTTTAGTATTTTACATAGTAAAGCATCAATACAAATCTGACTGAAAGTACAGATTAATTAAAAATAGGAAGAAAGGAACAGTATTTTTCATTTACATTCCTGAAACACTCACATTCTTACATACTGCAGCTCAATTTAAAGTAAATGTGATCTTGGGATATGCAAGTGGATTTTTTTTAACTGAGCAGGATGAATGGTGGATTCTAATCAAAGACACGAACTCAGTCTATAACAGTTACAGTAAACAATGAAACAATTCAGAGGTGTTTCTGGGTGGAGTGAATGCAAAGTCTGCCTTTGGCAAGAATGAGGCTAAGACCTTCTGACCCAAAACAAGAGCCTGCTAATTCCTAAGGCTCCCACCCTTATTTGTTTACTTGTATAGTTTCCAACATAATTAAGTTTAATTTACTCTGTTTATTAGATAAGGATGTTTAGGTGAATATGTAAATGTTTTTTTATTCATCCATAAAAAATGTAAACTAAAAATGCCAATCACCCAGACTCCTGCCTGTAAAATTAATAGAATAAAATACATTTTCAAACTGAATCTAATAACCATCCTTCATTATGAAGGATATAAAAAGCTATTTATATTTGCCAATAACTCTTGTCATTGACGAAGAGAAACAGTAAATTATTAAGGCCAATGCACCGACTCCATTTCTGTATGGACACAAAAACAAATGTATATGTTCTAAATAGAAATAACAGAAATAAATAAAAATCAGACCAGGATTGCAGTCTTTATCTGCATTATTCTTAATGTGTGATTAAAGAACCACAGTAGATTTCCAAAATATCTGTCATGGGTTATCTAACTTGAATGCTCCATTTAACTGTCCTGAATCTGCAAGGTAAATGTTGAACTGAATCAGCAACATTATTAACACTGTAAATCAAAGACAGGATGATGTCCTATGCTGTAGAGTAGGGTTATTCTCACCTGTGTAAATTATAAGGCAGGGAATGGAGAAACAGAGCTCCAGCCCCAGAAGTCCAAGGATGATATACATGTATAGGTGATTGTCAGTCGGAAATGACAGTTTCATAGACAGGACAAGTAGCAGTCCTGCATTCCCTAAAATAAAAAAAAAATCATTGCAAATGTAATAAGGTAATGTCAATGGTACAATAATAAACAAACAATTAATGGTCAGCTCAAAGCTGTTGGCATGTATTTGTTGCTGTACACTTACATTCCTGATAATTTCACATGTAATATAGAGACAAGAATAATTTTATTCCGGTGAGATAGATATATACAGTATATTATGTTGGCCTGTACATACAATTAAGCTTTTAGGTGGTACCAGAACTAACAGAAGACAAAAAAGTAAATTTGTTAACCTTCTCAGTAACATGTAAGCAACAGGGAATATCAACATAAAAGACAACTTCTGAAAAACATCTAATCTTATCTAAAAAAAAACAGTTTAAGGTCCTCGTCATATTTACCTATTATTTTTCAGTACTACCTTTCCAGTGGACAAAGAATATAAATGGTGTGTGTATCCATTTTCTCCAAATGAAAAGGTTAATCTGAAATAAAACCTTTTCTGAGCAAAGGGTACCTCCAAGTGGCTAACACCGGAATCACATTTGTAACATGCTTGTAAGCATCCTATCAATTTCAATTCAAAGACACAAGGGGGGAATTTAATGAACAGTATAATAAATTATTTATAATAAACAGTAGAATAAATGATTTGGAAGTTAACCAGAACTGAACAGCAATTCAACAGTTTTTTTTATTCTTCAGCTAACTATTCTTGTTGCATGTAGCTGCAGTGATATTGTACTAATCTCGCCACAACTCCAAGGCTAAGCAGAACTGGGCTAGAAAGACTTCCAAGGAAGACCAAGCTGGTGCTTTTGCAGTGCTGTTGTACCAAAAGCTGGCACTTTTACCTTTGGATCAGAATTCCCAGAATAATGTCCCACTGTGGTGACTGGGCACACTGGGCTGTAGGAGGTGCTGTTCTTTAAATGAAACATTAAACTGTGTTTATTGATTTCCAGGTCATTAAAGATCCAGTGGCACTGTTCAGAATCATAAAGGCAAGACCTTGGTGTCCTGTCTGAATTCCACTCTGGGCTTGAACAGACTCCCTAAATATTCATCTTAAATAAATTGGTGAAACAATTTCTCACTTCTCCACCAGAGTGGGTTTGGTGGCATAAATATGGGGCAGGTTCTGTAATTCTGTGATGGATGAAGTGGGTACTCTGCTGCACATGAAGTGCTTTGGGAAATGGGGTTTAATTCCACATGTGGAAATACGTTTCTTAAACAGGTATTTGCCAGCTTGAAAAAATAAATATAATAATTATTACTATTAGAATAATTGCTTACACTTATATAGCGCTTTTCTGGACACTCCACTCAAAGTGCTTTACAGGTAATGTGGACTCCCCTCCACCACCACCAATGTGCAGCACCCACCTGGATGCTACACTCCAACACCTTATCAGTCTCTTTCGTGAGATAAGAAACCTAAAGAAAATTAACACTGTTGCTGTAGACTAGCATCTTCTGTTCAACAGTAGATGGAGGTCAGTTCTAAAATGTTTGCTATACATCAGATGACTGCCGGGCTGACTCACCCACCTGCAGAATGTATGAACAGCGGCAGATGCTTCAAGTTCCGTGTGGATCGATAGAACTGCAAGTATCCTCTGTTCCGGGTCCTGCTGTGATGGTGCTGTACAAACTGCTCAAAAACAGCATGTAGAAGCCACAGGGCGACTTTGCTAATGACGATTACAGTCTTAGTCTTAAAGTCCTGTAAATAACGCTTACACTCCTCTGTGTTGTCCTCTCTGATGGAACAGAAAACAGCTAGCACAATGGAGAGGATGACAAAGGCAACCTAGGAAACAAAGAAACAACACTGTATTTATCTTTCTGAGAACCACATTTCTCCACCAAAACCCTACATTCAGCGCCAGAACATCACAATAACCTACCAGCTTTTGTACATGAATATTATATGTTCATCTTCAGTTTACAATTAAGTGGTTCTAAGACAGCAACTATTAATTTTAAGCATTAATGCTTCTCCTTAGTAATGCACACAAAACAATTGCCTTTGCCTACTATGCAGTGAAACACTTGTCCATGCTGCATTCACCACCATGCTTGTCTTTTCAGTATCTTTACAGAGTCTGTGCACACAAAAATACATTCATTTTTGCTCCTGTAGCATTACTTAGCTTTGCATGTGAACAAGGTGGAGTGTAAAATAAAGATTATTACCACAAATGTTACTTTTCCACAGTTAATTTGTTTTTGGAGAGAAAAAAAGAATCAAAATTATGCAACTTTTTTGTATTTCTTGTATTGTTTTACTTAAAACGATTAAAAATAAAAAAGTGGATATGAAGAACACCAAAACACCAAAAACAGCTTGTAATCGTGTACTACTCACATGAAGGAATGAAAGGAGAAATGCAAACCACCAAGTAGGCAATTTCTGAAACTCTGATTTAATATCAGAATCCAGGACATGTGGTGAAATGAGAGGTCCTTCAACTAGTGGGTCTTCTTCCATACTTTGAGTTACATCGTTGAAAGAAGTATTCTGTGAAGACCAAGAACATGACACAGGTGAATATTATTGGCATCGGTGCTTACTTTTCTGCCACTAGGTTAAGTCTAAAGTAACTTTCGTGCTGGTAAATAGTAACCCCTTAAGGATTCTAAAGCATCCTACACAGGAGTATGGCAGGATATCAAGCTTAAATCCCTTCCTGATTTAGGGTGGAGCGATGGCTCTGTGGCTAAGGATCTGCGCCTGTGACTGGAAGGTTGCCGGTTCAAATGCCGCAGCCGGCAGAGAAATCCTACTCCATTGGGCTCCTGAGCAAGGCCCTTAACCCTAACTGCTCCAGGGGCGCTGTACAATGGCAGACCCTGCGCTCTGACCCCAGGCTCTCTCCCTATCTGTGTGTCTCATGGAGAGCAAGCTGGGGTATGCGAAAAGATAATTCCTAATGCAAGAAATTGTAAAGGGTTAATAAAGTGATGATGTTGATGTTTATTAAGTTGCATGTAAATTAAGTTTACATGCAACTTTATTAACTGTTTATTAAGTTGCATGTAAACTTAATACTTAATAAACTTCATATAATAATGCATGTAAACAGCCTCCTACATAATCAAATAGAATTGCTGGTCGCCATACTGGAGTTTGTAAGTAAGAGAAGAGCATCACCTATTGGTCCACCAACACCCCTTGCAGCTGCAACAGTTTTGTAATGGAGTCTTGTATCCTCGTTATGACCAGAGGCAGCCTTTGTTTGAAAATGAAAAAATGAAGGCAATCTTGCTGAATATCAACTAAGAAAAGCAAATATCATGGAGTCATCAAACGTGTCAGTTATTGTTTTCCTAGCACTAGATACCAGGATAAGCTCTAATATGATTAGTCAATAGGACTGAGCAAGGACTTCGCTACTTGTTCCATATCAGCAAACAGCATACTGTCAACTTCAAATGCATATCAAATCTCAAGGTATTCTTCAAGAATGGTCGAGAGGAGCACACAAAGTCCTGTTGAGGTGAATATAACAAAAGCAGATAATTGGCATGAAACCACAAATAAGAATAAAAGTAAATGTCAAAGAAGGGCAAGGAGAGAGAAAACATGTTGGACTTGCAGCTTGAAAAGGGCAACATATTTAACAAGAACAACAAGATGAGAGACTGTCCACATGATGTGCAGTACCTCCAAAAAGCTCCATGGCGATGTGAAAGGTTGTGGTGGGTTTGTCAGTGGACAGACAGGAGATATAGGTAAGTAAAGCAACAGTATCATCCAGCATAATCAAGAAGCGTACTTGTTAGAGAAACCTTTGAACTACACAGACATAATGAAATGGCAATACACTGCTAAAACTGTTTGACAAAATGTCTGAATTGCCCATTATATGTAGTTGAATGCAAATAAGCGAGATTTCTATTACTAACCCATGGATTCACACTGCTATCTCCTGTATAGCTCATTTCACCCCAAACACACTAAAACTCTCTCCCTTTTTCACAGTTCCTTCAGCTACAACATCAATTTCCAGAACCAAGCCCTCAAAATGTACTCTTTTTTCATCAAAAGAAGGATACCCTAGCAGTGTTAATAACTCAATTAACTCGGACCATCAACTCAATCAGGAACTCCCACCA